GGCCAATGGTATCTTGGGGTGCACTAGGAGGAGCATGACCAGTAGGTTGAGGGAGTTTATCTTCCCCCTCTACTCTGCCCTGGTGAGGCCACATCTGAAGTACTGTGTCCAGTTCCAGACTCCACAGTTCAAAAAAGACAAGGAACTGCTGGAGAGAGTCCAGCAGAGGGCAACAAAGATGATGAGAGGACTGGAGCATCTCCCTTATGAGGAAAGGCCAAGGGAACTGGGTCTGTTCAACCTGAAGGAGAGAAGATAAGATTGGGAGGAAATATAATCAATGCTTATAAATACCTTAAGGGTGGATATCAAGAGGATGGGGCCAGACTCTTTTCAGTGCTGCCCAGCGACAGCTTAAGGAGCAACAGGCACAAACTGAAACATAGAAAGTTTTAACTTAATATGAGGAAGAACTTCTATACTTTGAGGGTGGCAGAGCGCTGGAACAGGCTGCCCAGAGAGGTTGTGGAGTCTGGTCAGGGATGTGATCCTGTGCAACTTGCTGTAGGTGAACCAGCTTTGGCAGGGGGGTTAGACCAGATGATCTCCAGAGGTCCCTTCCAACCCTGACCATTCTGTGATTCTGTAACCTAAAGACTCACGAAAGAGAATGCAACCCATAACCTCGGTGCTGTTGGCAAATCCATTAAACTTGAAATCAATGCATAAAGGGAAAAGGTTCTACTGCAAGTGGTAAACTCTTCTCTATGCATTTCCCAGCACCAAAGGCTGCTTAAGAACCAATATATAAAATTAAAGTAAGTAGATAAAATTCAGATGCATTAAGCAATGTCACAAAAGTTTAAATCTATTTCTGTCTGCACAAAAGTGAAACCATGTAATCTTTTCATTAATTTATTTAGTTTCTATATATAACATTTTTCTGTGCTTTCATCAACTTGAATATGAGAAAGGCAACAGAAGTAGGAAAATATTGAACTACAAACAAGTACAAAGAATCTTTCACAAAAAGTTGAGGTTTTCCATGCACTACAACAAGTACCTACAACTTGTATAACAGCTAGAAGTGATTAAGCATTCATTTAAACAGCAAACATTTAAGAGACTAGTGCTACACTGCAAACACAAGATAGTATCAATCTCTGTTCACCTAGGTGAGATCTAATCGACTGGGAGTCATGACTGATCAAAGACATCTCTTAAGCTTCAGTACCACCCAGAAAGCCAGACATTTAAACAACCACCGTTCTCTAAAAGAAAAAAAAAGTAAAAAGATACAAAGAACTTCCCTTTCCATAACATAATTTTCCATAACATAATTTCTATTTTAATATCAATTGTACTTGAGTCTGTGTTTACTTAGACACCACTATGTAACTCATAAGTTACTCTAAGACATGCAGGACAGCAAAATGAGGTCTTTACTTTACATACACATTTAGAGCACAGTAAAAGACAAAATATTATAGTCCAAAGTTTCAACACATCCTTATCTGTGTGTCTGAAACTTAGAAGATGAGGGCTAAGTCATGTAAGTGTACGAAGCTCTCAACAAGCTTAAAGTTAATCCTGTTTCAAAAACACTGTTGGTTTCAGTAAATCCACATTTTCCAGTAAAGGAAATATTTCCTCAGAAAAATACCATATAAGTTCTAGTTCAGACTTTGCACTGTAGACACTCTCAAGCTACAGACCAAATACTTCCTTATGAAAACCATCCCAGGCACTTGCATCAATAAATAAAACTTGAAAGTAAGATTCTCAGAGAGAAAAAAAAAAAAAAAAATAGGCAAAGATTTCAAGCCTTGACAGTACTCCTTTAAGGTTTGAGACGTTAACTAGATTATTACTACCTTCTGGTTGTCTCTGTTGAATCTGTGAATCCCAACTGCTTCAGGAGTAATTTCCATCACATCAAAGTAGAAACCTGCATCAAAGAACACTGAAGAGAGTAATGTTATGTTTGCTCCTAGTCCAAAGTTGGAATCTTATTTCAGCACACAGCTAAAACGATAACAAATGTTTATGACATATTTGGACATTTGAGTCACCACACAGCCTGTTTCTTAACTAATTTCAGTCCACACATTTATCAAATTTAACTACTTCCAGTTTACAAAAATGTGGATCTTAAGCATGTCTGGCTCTAGGCATCCAAACAATATAATAAACAAGCCTACAAAAGAGCACACGTCCACCAGAACACAGACACATGTAAGCAACGTAGATAATATAGAACATATCTTAGAAATAGTTTCAGTAGGTCATAGGCAAGGGTGAAAGAAAAAAAAAAAACAAACAAAAAATGGTAATTTATTAAGAAGAGTACAGGAATACTGGAACACTTCATGCACTGGACTAGATTTCATGAGCTTATTAGAGAACATCAGATATTTTAAGTCATGAAGCAGAGCTAGTGTCTAAATAGTTTTGATGAGATCTGAAAAAACGCAGTAACGCTGTGTAGACAGCTAGACAAAAAGTGTGAAAAAGATTTCTTTTGTGTTGATGGCAAGACGGGTTGGTCAGAAAAGATATTCAACAAAGGAGACAGAAAATGAGGACAGAAAAATGGAACAGACCAGCTAAGAAACTAAGGTGAGTTTCTAAGGTTCACACTTTGTAACAAGAGTATACTGCCCTAGGAACCCTATGATTATTAGCCAAAACCCCACAAAAACAGTACTGTCCTTTAGCACACATAACCTTTTTGGTTAAACATTCTGAAAACCTGCCAGTAAGTAACACTTGGTTACAGATCTGCAGGTCCTGCCAGGGCATGTATATCAAAATTTCCTTTCTGACCCTGCTGCCACCTCAAACCTGAAAGATGAGGTCTTCAAGTAAACCTGCTGGTTTTTATTAGCCCTAGGTACTTCCCAGACACAACAGGACCCTCATCCGGTTACTCCTCTTCCTTCCCTATTTGCTACCCCTGTTATTCTCCTTATCCCAGTCTCACCCTAGCAGCCGCTTCTGTCCATCCCCAAACCCCTACAGGGGCATCTTCGCACACAACAGGGAATGCAGGGAACGAGCGATAAAAGGGATGATGCCTAACCAGCTACTTCTTTGCTCTGCTTTCCTCAGGAACCCAGATTACGGAGATTACTGTATGTTTAAATGTATACTCAGAGGTTATTCAAGCATATAGGTTATTGAGGATGACTTTCATGAAACACCCATTTTATAGGGGATTAAGGTATCCAAGGGAATATACTATATACAATTTTTAAAAATTTAAGGCAGTGTCCTGGTATCCTTGAAATGAGTAACAATATTTTCATCCACTCCCAATGCTTTTAATATTGTCTAAAGCGGTTGACTTTTGGGTTTTGGAATAACCTCTTCCCATTTTCTGAAACATCTGAATTGATTTGTCTTCCAGTGAAAAGAGATTCCTGGTCATTTTAATACCCCCCAGAGACTGGATTTGACAGACAACATAACAGAGCTTCTAAAAATGAAAAATCAGTGCTAACCTCACAGTGTCAAGAAACTGTATCTTAAATTCACTTTACTAAGGAGTTAAGTCTCCTATAGCTTAAATATCTACATTTTAAAACTTTGCTACCTACAGTTTTTCAATTAATTTTATTCATACTAATTCAGATCTAGGATGATGGTGATGATTTCAAATCCAGCTCTGTAATGGTTAAATTTTAATCTTGATTACACATATGCTCACCTTTCACTTCAACTTATTTCAGAGCTATATACTACACTTGCAAAACGTTAAACTGTAGGAAAGAAAATAATGTAAAACTTCAAATACATTGGTTTATTTATATTTTTTAAATATTTCCATCACCATCATTTTGTTTCATTTCATTCACTTACCGTAATGTAGGGATTTTTTCAGGGATTAAATGATTCTGTGACATACACTGGGGAAAATGTAAGAAATCTGGGTATCATTTGACATTACTGCTTTGTTCACATGTGTGAACAGAATTCTAGAGTAATGATTGAGAAAGAAATAATATGGAGCTACCTAATTCACTTGGTTTGAGTCTTCAGAAAAAGAAACATACTTTAATGAAAGCCCCCTTCAGAAATTACTAGTTTTAAACATTCTACAGCTAAGATGCTACTAACACCCTTTCAATGACTAAAAGAGCTCCATAAACATAATTTTTTTATTTAGTGAATATTGAAGGAAAATACTATCATGACATTTAGCCCGCCAACAGAGCACTTCTAAGTACGCTTAATTCTTGGCCTTTATCATGACCCAAGTAAAAAGTAGGTACAACACCCACCCAAGTATGTGTCTGAGCAAATCCTGAACTCCCAGCCCTGCTAAGGCTCATACCCAAGTTTCCATTGTTTCCAGCAACAGTAGATGATAAGGCTTTGGAGAACTCATCCCAGGAGCCTGAAGCACAGTCATCTCTGATCCTCTCTCTCATCAGAGAGCCATTCTTAAAACTGAAACACACAAACATACCAGATACATTTTCCAAAACATTTGGCTCTACATTTTTAAAGCAATTTGTTGTTTTACTTAATATTGGTGTTTATTGTATCAGCTGAATAAAGCTGGGCAAGCTAAAAGATACATTCAATTCTTCACTATGGAAAAAGATAGAGAGGGAGAAAACTAGGTAAGATAGAAAACAAATATTACAGGATGTGTTGAGGAACACAGTGCAGAGATGTTGGTATACATCTCTCCAATGAGTCAGTTTAAACTCAATCTGGTAGGCCATGGTAAACCCAGGCTAGTTCTGAACAGCTAAGACATCTCCTCAGAGAAGTACTCTGACACAGCTCTAAAGATCACTCTGAGCTGACTCTGCAAGGACGAGCAAGAGTGTCTCTATATTGTATTTATGATTTCAGAAGCATGGTACCAGTATGGAGCCAGCTTCGGTCCTACAAGACTTACAAGGTCTAGCTCCGTGCCAGGATCTGGCAAAGGAAAGCACCACAGGCGCATCTGCATGGTTCTGGTCCAGAGCCAGTAAATCATGCTGTAAAATATGCATCTGTTCAGTGTTTATGTTCAGTCTTTGCACCCTCTATTGCCTCCTCTGTGAATCTAATACTCCTGCAAAATACTGCAGCATTGGACTGAGACCCAGAGGAAAGCAGTTTGAATACTCTCCAGCATGGAGTTATCAGAGCAACTCAGCAGGA